TTGGAAAATCGCTATACCAAGTGTATCGCCCTCGAAGGCAACTATGTTGAGGAATAAATATAACTTTGCCCAAAAAACGCTTGTTTTCATTAAAAATCTGGGGATTTTCAGCCCATGTAGTATTGTCAACTGTACAGGTCGAGGTGCATAATCAGAATTTCTTTCGAGTAGCGCATAGAAACTATCTATTATCGTTTTTCGTCAACCATTCTTCGGAAGGTAAAATGTTCTTCTCCATATTACCATAACATAACATGTGACACTGACGATCTATTTTCAGTTGACATTTGATTCCTCTATTCAATATGGAATTATTACTTAACGTAAACCTGCGGTATATGTACTTGTTTTCCCACCACATTTCCTGCAACCTTCGGAAGGTTTAGCAGTCATCCATCTCACATTAAAAGTTAATAAAGATGAAATAGGGAATTCAACACTGATGACGCTGACCGTGACATATATTGTCAAGTTAATGAGTAGTGACCATCGAAGGGTTTCGTTAGTTGCTCGTTGCTTATTAAGGGGGGGATTCACCTTTGCAGGCTTCAAAAAAATCGAAATTTTTTTTTATTTATTTTGATTCCTGCATATGTGTAAAATATCCCTGTACAAGGTTTTTTCTTAATTCGCAATATTAACGCAACTATGAGCTCAAATACGTAATGGCGCACGGGGCTTTAAGCGCTTACCAACGCAAATCATCACGTCAGAATCATCAAGAGAAGCCAGAACAGCTCGATTGGAGAGATTGATGGAAAAACAGTTATATGAAAACGTGGAAGGATTATTATATGGCCCTGGCATTGCAGAATCGTAAGTGCACTAAAAAACTAAATAGTTATATGTGGAAAAAGTCGAACCAAAACTTTAAACGCGTTTTTCTCAAAACCACATTTGTCGACCTGATGGAACTATTGAATAACCCAAAAATGGATTAAGATATTGGCTTAATTGTTTTTTCCTAATACTTTTACGCATGGCAAGAACTATAATCGTGAGTTTACATCAAATATTCGATTTGTTATTCACAAAAAAGTAACAATTTTTTAGGACAAAAAATTAATTTTTTTTTCAATGCCACCATTTTGACAAATTTCAGACAATTGACATTATTTTAGTTCCTGCTATAACGACACTCATATAATTCATAAAAATAAAAAGAATTTAATTTCAGATGATTTGCAGAGTCAATATTACTTCCGTCATGGAGACGAGTTTTGCAGATGACCCCTAATTCGATCGTCATTTGGAGACATTAAAATGCATATTCGTTTAATTAAAAAATATTTCTTTTACTGTTTAGACATTACATAATTTCATGCAAAACGCTATATTGTTCTGTATATAATAAATTTTCTTTAAAAAAATCATGAAGTTGAGCTAATTTTACAGCCGGCAAGTGTGAAACCCCCCTTAAGATGTTATAAAAATTAAAATTCTCCTCCGATGATCTTGACCCTCCCATACATTATGAAGGAAATCACACTGAATAACCTTCGGAAGGATGCAGCAGTAGGGAATTTAACTCCGACAATGTTGACCTTAACATATAATGTCATGGTCACGATCCTGAATCACCATCGGACACTTTCAGCAGACGATCGTTGCCCATTAAGAAGATATTAAAATTAAAATCGACAATTCATTTCCGATGACCTTGACCCTTCCACATTTTACGAAGGTCATCACGCCGAACAACCTTCGAAAGGTTGTAGCAGTCACCCATCATGCGTTACAAAGTTATCCAAAAAATTAATACGACCCTGACTCACAATGTCAAGGTCACGACCCTGGATGAGACGATTGAGGGTGAGAGATGACAAAATGGGGTGAGAAAGGACGAAAGAGCGAGATAGGGCAAAAAAATAGAACGGTGAGGGGGATGGGTGGAAGGAGGGGCGAGAGGAGGGGGTGGAGTGAGTCAAAGTTGGTGGAGATATGAGTGAAAGGCGAGAGACAAGAGAGGTGCATGTGACTGCGGACAGAGAAGAAGGAGAAGAAGACGTTAAACAAGGTCACATACCTGAGTGACCATCGGACCCTTTCAGCAAGCGAGGGTGAGAGATGACAAAATGGGGTGAGAGAAGACGAAAAAGTGAGATAGGGCAAAAAAAATTGAGCGTTGGTGGGGGGAAGGTGAGGGTGGGGGGAGGGAAGGTGGTGGAGTGGGTCAAAGTTGGTGGAGGTGAGTGAAGGGTGAGAGACAAGAGAGGTGCACGTGACTGCGGATAAAGAAGGAGCAGAAGACGTTACTGAATTTTTCACAAAAATCATCACTTTTCGACCACTCGTATGTCCAGAACTGCTTGACCGATAAAAATTTTTTTAGCTCAAATTACTCGTGGCGATGCGGTCTTTCAGGATATATTACATGCAATTAAAAATTTTTTATATTTTAGTAATTATGCAACCTTCAAACATGGACTTTGGTGGCTCGGGATAAGAGACTTGTAGTATCTCTTTTTTTTTAATGGCCGGAGTCACTACCACGTCTCCTGAAAGTGACTCACTGTGTCTGATATTGACTGGCCAACATATCAGGAACCTGTTCTTGAATTATTCATGATAATGTTTGCGATACTGTACTTTGTAATCGTGGTAAGCGTCCCTATTTTCGGGATAATTAATAATATTATTAAAGTTTTTTGATAAATTAGTTTCTATATTCTTTAATTCGACATTTTCAATATTCCCTTCTTTTTCATTTTCCTTTTGTTTCTTTTTGTTTAATTCTGGCATTTAATTTCTCGATGTAGGAGAGCTCACCATAACAGGATAACTTTTACTTTATATTTGTTAGTTTGTTTTTGCTCTGAGGAAGGCTAAAAAATGAGCCAAAACATGTAAGCGCGTTTGTTAAATAAAGAAATTTCAAGCTTCATAAGTGTATTATTTGCGCGACGTCTTCTGCGCCTGACTCCTAAAGCCCGTATTCTTTCCAATTCTATGAATTATACATATATTACAATTCCTAATACCTACAATGTTGCAGCGATATGGCAGCGCAATCTGCAAGCAAGTTTCTGTGCAGTATGGGGTTATTATTAGAGAGTATTACCTAAGATATCTGACCGACAGAGGCTGAAACCTCTTGAAGGGTCATACTTTGAGTAACATTTGTTAAGATCAAAGTTGGTGGTTGTGACTTTTACTTTCAATTTGGCACTAAAAATTTATTTATCTTATTATTTTATTTCCACTTTATCTTATTATATTATCCCCCCCTCTCTCTCTCTTTCTCTCTCCCTCCCTCCCCTCCCCCCCTCTCTCTCTCTCTCGACATTTTAATTCGCTTCTCATCTTGTAATTTTACTCATCTGCTAAATGTTTTTAGAGGGCTTGCCCTAGAACAATAATAAACGCTTTTATCTATCTATTTATCTCTGTCCCATGCACATAAACGAATATTGTCAGTGTATGCTCATTAATGTTCATTTTCGTTTTTTGCTAATTTAATATAATATAATTATATTAGGGCATTGTGTGAGAGCTTAACTGACAGAAACACATGTATGGATTTATCCGTGTGTCTGAAAAAAATCTGAAAATCTGAAATGATGCCTTTTAAGATCTCGATATCTCGGGATTGACTGTATCAGTTTTATTCAAGTTAATTGCAATAGAAAGATCACGTTGCCATTATATAATAAAAGTGCGACTAAATTTTTAATTGCGTTTTTAGTTTTTAAGTAATTTTTATCGAAAGTTTCAAAACTCCGGATAAAACTAGTAATATAGCATTGTGAATTTGACAGCGAGATGAACATATACGCAACGACATTCATGCGTCAATCGGTCAAGTGATACCGCGTCGCTTGATATCGATATTTGTCATATACAGAATGCGTCAGCTAAACCCGGACAAAATTACATTTGAATTTTCCGTTATACGAGGGCAAATCAATAAGTACCCGTGTTAGTAATGAAGGCGCAAGCTTTTCAAAAAAATTTTTTGTATTTTTCAACGTAATCCCCTTTTAGGAGGATACACTTTTCCCAACGCTTCTGCCATTTTTTTAACTTCTCAGAAAAATACGATTTGTCGAACTCTGCAAAATAGGCCTCTGTTTCGGCGATGACCTCCTCATTCGACTGTTGCTTGGTCTCCGGTGTGTAGTAATGAATCCATGTTTCATCAACGGTTACGACTCGACGCAAAAACTCGTTCGGATTGCTCTTGAACAGTTCCAAACACTGCTTTGAAATTCATAACCGCATCTGCTTGTTGTCCACCGTAAGCAATCGCGGCACCCATCGGGCCGACAGCTTTTTCATTCCCAAGTTATCATGCAAAATATTGAATGCCGTTCCGTACAACACGCCTACGGCCTCTGCTACTTCGTGCACTTTCGTTCGGCGATCAGCGAGAATCATGTCGTGAACTTTTTTAACGATTTCCTCAGAAACCACGTCTGCCGGGCGGCCTGGGCGCTCCTCATCAAAAACAGACGAACGACCACGTTTGAATTCGTTAAACCAATATCTGACGGTTGTCATAGATGGTGAAGAGTTCCCATATGGCATCCAACTTCGTTTTTATTTCTTCGCACGTTTTTCCATCCAAAAATAAGAAACGAATCACGGATCGATATTGCTCTTCCTCCATTGTATCGGAAAACATCAAACACACTCACTACGAATTGCTGTCAAATCAAGACTATTGCATGAATTACTCTGAAATTTTGTATGGCGTCGTTTGAAAGGTAGTACACGATGGTAATGCCAACTTGCGTCAGCAACGCCGTCTGTCTTGAAACACGAGTACTTATTGATTTGCCCTCGTATGCGACTTTAGCAGTAGATGATTGTTGGCGCTTGGTTAAGTCGGATGTTTGTATGAAACATGTATAATCTCAAAATTTCTGAGTTAGTGAGATCAAGTGCGGAGTACAACTGAAGAGTGGCGATAATTGAAGCGCTTTGCGACGGACGTGCGCCAATCAAAATGATTCGGTTCTTCAAATACTCGCGACCGTTTACGACATCGCCCAAAAGTATGCAAACGCGAAGAAATCCGAAGAAGGTTCTGCTAATCCGGTGAGGCAGAGTCATTCGAAAGAGAAGACTGCAAGGACATCGGCTGTCATCCAAAGCTAAAGAGTTCATTTCGGAAGACCCAGGGGTGTCGCTTTGGAAATTGTCCACCATACTGGGGGTAAGTAAGGCCACCATGCGTCGAATCACTGAAGAGGATTTGAGATACACATTTTATGTGCTCAAAATATGACAAATGTTGTCTGAGAATGCCAAAGCCAAGAGAGTTGTCCGTTGCAATTTGCTTCATTGTTTGTTAAAGCACGAAACCGCGGGTCGCCTCAGATTTTTTCCGATAAGATTTTTACTGTTGATGCAAAAGTGGACCGAAGGAACGACTGTTGGCTCGCTCATGATCCCCAGGATATCCCCGTAATAACCAAGATGAAGTTTCCGGCGAATGTTTACGTCCTAAGTGCTGTCTCCAATGAGGGTGACATCGCGCCGACTTATTTTAAAAAAAACGGAGAAACCATCACAAACTTCCTTCCCGTGGAAATTTACCTCCGGATTCTGAGGACTGTAGTGAAGCCATGAATGGAAACTACGGCCTCCGGAAGGCCGTACATTTTTCAACAAAATGGCTCACCAGCTTGCACAAGTCATTTAGTGCAAAATTGGATTTCCGACAACGTGTACGCGTTTTGGTCCAAGGAATTCTGACCTCCCAATAGTCCAGATTTAAATCTCCTAGATTATTTCGTTTGAGGCGTTATTGAAAGAGTGTCTAACAAGTCCAGGTACCCCAACGTAGCCATCAAACTGCTATTGGGGCAAAATTCATGAATTTAAACAAGGAGCAGTAAAAAAGAGCGTGCTCGCGCTTTAGGCAAAGGATCGAGGCAGTGATCGCAGCAAATAGAGGCTACATTGAGCAATAGATCTCAGAGAGGATGTAGCAATAGATCTCAATGGATGTACAAAAATTTTTGTATATTTTCAAGTTTTTTCTGAATATAAAATGGCAGTTTAATAAACTGTTTGTTTTATCCGGATTTAGCTAACGCACCCTGTATATCCAAACAGTCTTTTCCTACAGTGTACTGAACTAATATAATAACACACATTACAGAATATAATTGAGAATTTAGTATGTAGTAATTAAGAATTTGATAGGTATACACATACTTCTTGTGTAATTAAAAAATTTTTTTAATATTAATTTTAAATAATAATTATTTTATTAACAAATTGTATTTCTTTTTATTTCTTGTCGTCTTTGTATACTTTTTCTCAGAAGGTATCAATTTTAATTAGACTTCCTAAACATCAAAAACGATATTGCAAATTCCGCGAAAAAGTAATGCATAATATTAACATTACCTACTTATATATCTATTTAAGAAACGCGCAAATTGATATGCAAGGAACGAAACAAGGAACTTTACATATGCATAACCTTTGAATTTGCCTGAACGGACAAGCGAAAAAACAAAAAACGGCATACGCCACAGGATAACAACAAAAGACTTTTCTGATAAAATTACTTTTCCATCTCTCCCGTCTCAAACATTCTATTTGAGCCGACTACCTATTCTCTCCCCATGCTTTCTATCCTGACTTTACCATACAAATGCGCCTCGAGAATGCTCGTTATTTCAAAGACGTTCCAATAAAGTGCCGGTTTTACATAGTAATTTTTATAAAGTATTCGTGCGATAGAGAGGAAGGACAGGTTACAAACTTACTGATATGAACGGTTTATCCCGTAGTGCCGCCCGATATCGTTTATGGGGGTGACACTAGCGCCGATTTGGCAGTGGCAGAGGGTGACAACGCGACTTTGAGCTGTCGTGCAACAGGACATCCACCTCCGAGAGTGTCCTGGCGGAGAGAGGATGGAGAATCCATTGTCATAAGGGCTTCCACGGCAGGTAAGACATTGTTTAAAACTTGAAATCTTTATCCTTCTTCTATTCGTCTGTAACATGTCAACTGTTACCAAGTAAAATACAAGATACCTCAAAATTTCAATTTTTATCGCGAATATCTCGTGATTCACAAGAAATACTATCAGTGCACACTGCACAGTAATTTCTTTTTCTTAAAAAAAGATACGAGAAAAATGCATTGGTATAAATTGAAAATCTAGTAGATTCAACCAGAGAAAGGTATAAATCAGATACTTATAGTTAAATCTATTAAACATTCTAATTAAGATAATCAGAAATACAGTCATAGAATTCTGAATGGTATAGTTTGTACTTCTTGATGGTATAATTAAACACATTTTTCTCACTGAAAAGAGACAACAAAAGTCTTCTCAATGTCATCTTATTACATGCGTGAATATATTAGCAGAATTACAACGTGCTATTAACCTCTAAACCGTCGATATGACACCATATGGCATCATGCGATGACTCTACTTACACCGACGAGATACTATTAATGACCGACATTCTTATGGGAGTTCGCGTTTCTGTTGAAATCTAAGTGATTATGAGTAATAAACTGATAACATAGCATTAACTTTATGATTTATTGGTTTTGTAGATATGCACACATATTTAAAACTCAACAAAACTCGATTTTTAATTAAAATTAAGATTTCTATGTTATCGTCCGGATTTGATCATCAACAGAGATAATAACTGTAGAGAAAGAAATTTTGCAGCAATATACAAGGTATTATAGTATTATAGTATTATAAGTATATATTATGATGTTATAGTGTTATAAGTACGCATACTTATCTAGATAAAACATTTAATTAAAAAACAGTAATACTAGGCTCAAAGGAATAAATCAATAATATCAAAAAGTAATGCCTATATGAGCCGACACTGGAAGTTCATGTGCAGAAAAACTTTATTCGTTAAAATTAATCTTCACACCGATTAAAAAGGGATTACATAACAAGTTCCAGCAATTAAACAACCAAGAACATATTCAAAGAACAATGGATGACAATAAAAATGAGATTCAGAGATTTTTCACGATCTTTTATACCGGAGATATCTGATAAAATAAAAAATTTTGTTGCTAAAGTACCAGGAGTTAATAAGGGTTACAAAAGCATCAACAAATTAAAACAATTCATTAAGGTTCAAAAAGACCCTCTTCCAAAGTTTTCTCACTCTAATGTTGTCTACAAACTTGAATGTAAAAACTGTGATGCATTCTACGTAGGACAGACTAAGAGGTGTTTGAAGACGCGTATATCGGAGCATAGCAGTCATATTAACAGGAGCATGACACAGTCCTCGGTGATTACTGACCATAGACTTGAGACATCTCATGAATTCGATTGGGAAAATGTTAGAATACTTGATGAGGAGAAAATTTTAAACAAAAGACTAATATCTCTCTCTCTGAAGTGATACACATTAGAAGACAGAAACAGGGTTTGAATTTGCATAATGATATGTCAACTCTTGAACCGTAATATGTGGATTTATTTAAGAATAGAACTTCTTTTTTAACTTTTACATTTATTGAAAGTTTATAATTATGGGTTCTTATTTTAAATCTAAACTTTAAAGTTTATTTTTATTATTTTTTTTTATTTATATTTTTATGTTTATCATTTAATAATTATTGATTATTTATTTTTTATTTTTATTTTTATTTTTCAGTCTTTATTTTCTATTTATTTTACTTCAAAATTTTTAATTTTTAATTTTTATTTTTTATTTATTACTCACTATTTAGTTATTTTTTATTCTTGATTTGACTGTGATTAAAAAACCGCTGATAAAATTAATTTCACATATTGGACCATGTATTGTTAAGTAAGAATATGCGAGCACTTGAAAACTTATAAAGAGATAAATTAATTTTCCATCTTCTCTTTACAATAATATAGACACAGACTTTAGTGACTTTAAAAATGTATTAACTTAACACTATATAGGACTAAGTTAAAATTTATTTGTATTTTATTGTGTTTAGCATAAAAATTTTTAATCTAATAAGTCATCTTGTGACAAAACAAATTTGTGTTACTGTATCGATACAATTTAATAAGCTTGTAACTGTGACTGTACCAATATTATTGGTTTGTCTTTAGACGTGACTTTGCTCTTGGATTGGCGATTTTAAACGTATTGTCACATTCGCAGGCTAACGTTTAAGCTAACAACATCAAAGTTACTCGGTTGCTATGTAAGATTTTCGTAGATAATTTTCATTAAATCAAATAGTTTAATAATATTAAATAGTGTTATTATTTAAAATAAAAATAAAAATATAAAATAAATGTTCTTTTATAGTGAAATTGTCAGTTTGATAGTGGAGTTAACGTTGATGAAATATGTAATTAGTCAAGTTCAGCGTTACATGTAAGTCATATAGGTAATCCTTCCTTTTACAATATATTAATAATATGATAATAACATATATATAATTATTTTATATAGCAAATCGATCAATTTGATGTACATTATTAGAACAAAGGACACATTCTGCAATTTATGTTAGCCTTAAGACAATATTCATAGCGTTTAATATATTTTGTACTGAAGAGGATCCGAAGCGAGGGTCGAAACGTTTACCAATTAATGTAATTCTCCGAATAAAGTTTTCCTGTACATGAACATCCAGTGTCGGCTCATATAGGCATTACTTTTTGTAATTAAATGTTTTATTTAAATAAAAAATCGTCAATTTAATAATAGAGGAAAGCCCCCTATTATGAGATAGGCGCCTAATATGAGATAGCGGCATTTCTGCTAAAATAATAAACGCTATATATTAGTTCCACCATGAATTTATTGCTCTTGGATTGAAAACTATTTAGTAAAAAATTCATTATTAGATCATGCCTGTAGTCATTGTAAAAAAAGATTTTAGAATTTTGATATCTTCAAATTTCATTGAAATGAGCCTTTAAATCTTGTTTATTATTTAATAAATAAATATTTGGCAATAAATTCTTCATGTAGTGAATAACCCATGCTCCTATGTCATAGTGAAAATCGTTGCTAAAGAATAAATGTTATTGTACTATAATAAAAAGGACAACCGGAATGAACGTCGAGTGTCTATTTCTGCGATGCTTGTTTCCAACTACCTGAAGACGAGTTCTGGGTATAATCGATCGCATGCTTATTTTTCACGCACCCTGGCTGTGTTTGTTTGCATTTTAGAAACATGAAAGAAAGTTTTTTAGTTGCAATATTGATATATCTTGCGTTTTACTATCGATTTCTCGGGGCATCTCATATTATTAGCACAATTTTTTGAATTTGTGATTTGCCCATTTTTTACATTTCGCTAATTTGAAAAAAAAATGGAATTTGAATTAAATTTTATATAACGTTATCTTAAAGCTTATTAAATTCCCTTCAAAATGATCTATTATTTTTTTAAGTTCTACCCAGAGACTTCTAGCATTTATCCAAAATGAATTCGGTATCTCATAATAGGGGCCTTTCCTCTATATCCAAAAATTTATATTGATAATCACAAATTTAAATCAATTGTCGATAATGTCAGAGTTCTTCAATTTCCTCCGGATCCTTTTTGTATGGACATGGAAAATTTACCTAGGATTGACGGTTTTTAAGAGAATCCTAAAATCGTTTGTATTACCGACTAAACCATATAATTTTTGTAACAATTACTTTTTTCCTCTCTTAATGATTCGAACATCCTTTTCTAGGATTAAAATATATGCATTAATACGTATCTGTGAGGTGAAATCTATGCTGAGAACGACAAAAAATTTTGAAATTGAGATCTTCTTTACCACTTCTTAGTCCAATATGGCGCTTCAAAGCTATCATGTCGAGATAACATTTTCTTCATATAAAACTTGTGCAATCTGTACTCATTTCTGTACTTACGAAATAGTAGTCTACAGACTAGTAGTTTGCACGAAGAAACAGCGTGGAGTTCTTAAAATTGGACTTAGACGTCTAATTAAAACGTAATTGTTATATATACGAAAATTTATGTAGATATCAACAACAAAAAACTCCAAAACCAGGGCGAATGAGAGTCAACGTAGTAATTAATACGCAATTTTAATTCTTCGATTTAAAAATAGATTCTTTATTCCAAAAATAGTACGTTTCAGTTCGCTTTGGAACCATCATCAGTAAAACAAATTTAAAATATCAATTCCTACATATCAAAGAAAAAATCACCATCAGATTAGCAGATTTGATGTTATAATCCAGTGGTCGCAAGGATTTGTACATTTCGGGCCGATTCCGACCCCCACCACCGCACGGCCGAGCCGCCGCACAGTGGTACGAAACGCTTAAAAACCTGGCCAAAAATCGAAAAATGAGTGAGTTTGCTTGGATATGTGTATACAGGGATTTTTGAGGTCACTGAATTCAAATTTGGCATTAAAATTGTGAAATTTGTAACATTTTATTTATTTTTTGTACACACAAATCTACTTATACAAGGTTTCTTGCGTTTATTATATTGATGAAGTGGGTGTCTAGGTATTCGCCTTCGAGGGAGTGGGTGT